GAAAAAGAGGTGTCCACAAGACCAAAACCTGGCTCACAAAATGCCAAGAGCTGGAGGCCTGGGTAGAAGGGATTAGCATAGCCATTGACACAGCTATGGAAACAAGATCCTCAGTCTCCAATGCCTAGATTACAAAGCATAACACCCAAGCAGGTATAAAGATATGGAGATTGGGCCTATTGTAGAATTGGGCCTATTGTAGAATCTCTGGTCACTTTCAGATTCTACATAATTATCCAGAATCAGCAACTAACCCGAAGGCTCACAAGGGGCGAATCCCTCCCAAACAGAAGACAACTATATCCGTTCAATCTCTGCACAGGCTCTGGAGAGCACTCTCTGCCCACCTGTGCCTAAGTAGCTTCCTCTTTTCACCAACCCTCTCCCTCTGCAGGGCAGCAGCCTCCCTGCCTGCCCATGACCTGTCTCTCTGGGCCTCTCCTCACTGACCTCCCTCAGTGGAGGTCACTCTCCTCAAAGCCACCCACCTGCAACCACGCAGGCCTCTCTCAGCAAACCTGTCCCTCCTGGGGCAGCTGTTCCTGCCCGCTTGTGTCTCCTTTACTTTCCTTGTCCCCTTTCCCTAATAAACCTGCCCTTTCAATATAACTAATGTCTCTGTCTCGTGGAGAAACTGGCCTGGGAAGCTTGCTGCAGGTCCCTGAAACAGGAGCTCTGGCAACACCTTTCCCATAGTGAACCAAAGACCCCGCACTCCAGACCCACTAACTCCAAAAACAACATCAAGTAGAAGTCCTAGTCCAAGCCCAGTTTCTCTCTGGAACAATTACAGTCCTTCCAGCCATCTGCCAATGTCCTAGAAGAGTCAGAATAATCTTAGGTTGCCTAAAGCCAAAGCATCTGGACTGACACTGAATGTCAGGGTAAGATTTTAGCAGAGCATAGATAAAAGGAGCTCACAGGTGAGCCAGCCAAAGTGGAAAAGGAGAGTATATTGCCTGGCTCTTGTGCTAAAAAAAAAATCAGTCTGTTCCCCACAATCAGTTTTTCCTGGGCTCCTGCAGGGAAACCGTGATAGGGGTTGCTTCTTAGACATAGGTTTGTAGCTACAGGTCGACCACTTAGTTAATATTTTCCCCAAGGGGCTTTTAGATGGAACAAATACGGCACCTCTCATAAGTTTAACTAAATCCCTGGCTTCCAAAAACAAACGGGAAACTCCAAATACCAAATACCAAATAGATATCAAGTGACAAAAACACCAAATGTTTCCCAATTCCCACTCAACCGGGCCTAACACACCAAAGAGCGCTCCAAATTGAGGGAGACTCATAGACTCCCTCCCAAATGAGGAGACCTGAACTCCCTCCGCGAGGGGACTCAGATTCCTCCCGAATGTGTGAAGGCCAAGGTCTTGGCGTGCACGCCAGGGGAACTTACACAAACGCCAGGGGACCGCGGTTTTCCATCCAGTTTCCATCTCCTCAAAGGTAAATCCAGGGTGCAGAGAAGAGCTGTGCCTCTCCCGAGGAGGACTTGGGAAGTTCCCCGGAGGAAAAAGAACTCCGGCAGCTGCTGGGACTCTCCCTCATCCTCCTGGAGAGAGGGCGCTCCCTCTCAGCAGGAGGGTCAGGATGCCACCCGGGATGCCCAGGCCCCTCTCTGAAAGCACAGGCCAGCATAGATAGGTGAGCCCTGGTGCGCAGCAGCAGGCAACAGCTCCGTCAGTTGGAAGTCAGAGTTGGGGTTGGGAGAGCCGAAGTGGCATCCACCTCCTGGCTGGCTCGCCAAAATTGTTACCGAACGCCGGCCTCAGTTTCCCTCAGCCAATAAAAGGAAACTAAGTTTGAGGAAAAGGAAAGCGGTTTTATTTGTCGACAAATGAGGAGGGAGGCAGACTCATGTCCGAAAAACCACCGTCCTGCTCTTAGGCAGTGGGCAGGAGTATTTATACAGGGGGAGATGGGTAGGCATCCGTGAAGGGAGGGGGAAGGGGTCCGCACAGAGACAAGTGGGCGCCGCCAGCTCAACAGGGAGATGGATGGGTGTCAGCTCATTCATCTTAAGGGAAGGGAAGTGTCAAGGCACAGAGACGGGTGATCGCCAACTTGTTTTCCTTAGGGCGAGGGGGAAGGGTCTACAGGGAAACCGGTGGGCGCCAGCTTTTTTTTTTTTTCTTCCCAAGGGGAGGGGAAGCTGCAACAAATGGGAAAGACAAGTCATCAATCCTGTTAATGCTAGATAAGGGGAATTGCAAAAAATGGGGGAAAGACAAACTTGTTAACTGTATCACTCTCAGGGCTGAAGCCAGAAGGTTCTCAAATCAGATGGCTTCAGTTCGAATTCCAACTCACCATTTTCACATTTTGACATTGTACTTAACCCCACAATTTCAGTTTCCTGAACAGCATAAGATAATAGTAACCATCTTATCTCATCAGGTAAAGTGCTTAAATCCCGAAGAGCCTAGATAAAGTAACTATTATTATATGTGATCAATATTATAAAAGCAAAATATACTCCATGAACATTTGCAACTCTATCAGAATATCAGAATGGCAAACTGATTCTGTTTCAAATTATAATCATCAGAAAGTCATTAAATGCACAATCAATTGTCACAGCAAGTTAGTCTCTAAAGTAATTTCTGCAAGTACCTTATTGGGAGTTGAGTTGCAGAACATTATTCTCTGCTGTAGCAAAGCTTGCTTTAGGGGTGTCCAACAAACTACAATAATAACTAGTTGGCTTTACCATCAGTCAATTTCAGTCACCTCAAATGTGTTTGAATGCCGAATCCCTTATTATTGGTTTAATCCTGGATTTCCTCTTCTATCTTCTGCCTCCCCAGTAGATGTCGCCACTCATGTGGTCGTACCAGAGGGATACTAGCCCTAGCACTCCCCACAAGGGGAAACAGCAAACTATTCCCTGGTCAGTATATAAGATTTGCTAGGGTGATGGAAGGACGCAATATTCCCCAGACATTCTTGTTCCTCCCGCCCCGTGAGCAATCTCTCAAAACCAGGATCTTTGTGCACCAGCGACGGTAACCATGTGCTACCAGGTTTAAGTGAGGCTGCTGAAGATCAAACCTTTGCCTTGAACTCTATGTCTTCCAGAAATCCACCTACCAAGGATACTGAGGACTGGACTGCTTCAAAGACAATGGTTTGAATTTTTATTTCCATAGTAAAATGCCTTCTGACCTAATTAATATCATTGCTCTGAGCTAAGAAGGCCAGTTGCTTTATTTGCTAATTAGGAGGAAAAAACCTGAGCCAGAAAGACCTCTTGACATTTCATTTAATAAATTGAAATAGCCAAGTTCCCCCGAAGAAGGTAGAGATCAGTAGGAGTGTTTTGTGATGGACTGCAAATATGTGGAAGCATTTTTTTTGGTTTTGTTTTTTATATTTTTTATTGAGTTACCATTAGTTTACAACACTGTATATGACTTAGAGGTGTGGGATTGTTAGGGGGAAAAAGGATCACACCCTTTACATGTCTGTTACCATACTATACCCACCATCAACCGTAGTTCTCCGTGTGGAAACATTTTTGTCTAATTTTTTTATTCTAGTAAACTTCCAGAGTGCTGAGAATCACATCCTTGGTTGTGACAGGTTGGAGGTTATGTGGGAGGAGTTTTATATGTCTAAAGTTAATAACAGTCTGTGGAGATTATATTTAACTGTGTATAAACATCTGGTACAGCAAAAACAGAATAGTCCCAATGTTAGACCCAGCTGGAAAGTACCAGGAGGGTTTAGCTAAAGATTGCCAGAGCAGCCCATTGTCCTTCCACCATTCTTACGTAAATTACCAAGGTAGGTGATACTTCACAACTGGCTTTCTGACCCTCCCTGAGCATCCAGGCTCACTGAGAGTTTAAGTGTCCTTTCTCAAAATTTCCATATTATTTTTTGTCTGACATTTACATTCTAACACTTGATTTTATAATTTAAAAAAACTATGCATATAAGAGTTGGGGTGAGGCCAGAGGGGTGTGTGTGGGGTGTGTGTGTGTGTGTGTGTGTGTGAGAGAGAGAGAGAGAGATTGAGCACGTGAGGATTCACCAGAGACAGAGTGGGGAGCAGAACAGGCGGAGTAACTGAAACACACTGCTGAGGGGAGCAGCAGCAGGTGAGAAGGAGGGGTCTGCTGTGCCTTGTGGGTAGCTCCATGGCCAGCCAGTCATTGAACTGGTGCTGCAGAGGCTGCGGATTGTTTCACAGTGCTGTGCTTAACCCCTTATGCCACCAGGGAGGCCCCCAATGTCATTTTTTAAAAATATTTTATTTTTGCATAGAAGAACTGGGGTGTAGGTCAGAAGTGTGGGGGTGGGGGTTGAGAGGATTCACCAGAGACAGAGTTGGGAGCAGAACAGACAGATTTACTGAAATACACTGCTGAGGGGAGCGGTGGGCAAGACAGGAGAGGTCTGCTGTGCCATCCATGGGTTAGCTCACTGGCCAGTGATTTAACCTGTAGGCCACCAGGGAGTCCCCAGATTACATCTTTTAGGAAGAAAAGCTGACCAGAGAGTAGATTGTCAACTGTGATCTCACCAAGAGCAGTGTTTTTCAAAATCTTTATATGCAATTTCCTATACATTTTTTAATTTAATATTTTAGCATAAAATATTTCCCTGTGATTAAAAACTCAATAGACAACATTTTAATTGTCACTTATGTGATATTGCCTTTTTAATAATTTCCCCATCACAAGCATTGAACTTTTTTCTAATTTTTTCTAGTTATAAATAATACTGTAGTGAACATCTTTGTGCCCTCATTTTAGGGTAAAATTCTTAGTATAAATTCTCAGAATGTGTGAAGAAAAAATGAAAAAAAATTAAAGAACAAGCAAACCCTCAGAGACAATCCACACTGGTGATCAGCAAACTTTAGTTGTTTCAGATGGCCGGGAGGGCTTGTTAAAACAGCCTGCTGGGCCCATCCTCAAAAGGAAGGATTTAGCAGGTGGGGTGGGGGGTGGGACAGGAAACTCATTAGCATTTTAAACAAGTCTCCAGGACTTTAGTTAGGTGTAGATCAGAACTGAACTTGGAGAACACTGATATAAGGCTTAGACAGAGAAAAATTGTCTTGAAGCAGAGAAGAGGGCAAGTTAAGAACAGTTGAGATTGCAGAGATATTTGTTAGGTGGAACCTAGGAGAGAAATTGCATCTTTATTGCCAAGTGAAGTAGGAAGTGGAGTCCTCAGCCAAGAGAGGTAAGAGCAAAGTGAGTAATGTGATGAAAGTGTAACAGGGTGGTCCCCAGGAAAGGGGGAGGTTCCCTGCCCCACCCAAGGGAGGGTGGAGCTGAGCAGGAAGAGGAGAAGCTGAAGAAGAGACTGAGGAAGGAAGCAGGATGGAGCCAGAAGGAGCCCTGGAGGAGGCATATGGAACCTAGAGACACGTGAAGAAACTGGGCTTGTCTTTTGGTCATGGACTGGGTGACACAGATGTGGGTGAGACCCGTGGGGAGGTGACCATGGCAGCTTTTATCTTGATGTTGATTTTGCTCTTTTCTTTCCGGGCTTGTCTGCTTGTTTCTGACCCTTTGCTGTGGGTCCCCACTGGAAGATGCTTTAGACTTGTGGCAGGCTTTGGGGCCTTGTTCTGGGCCAATCCCATATGGATGGACTTTTACCCACGAGGGGACGGGTAACTTTGGGTGCTTCATTTAGAAACTAGACTCTTTGCCTTACCTGTATTGTTTCCTAATTGTATTAAAGTTCCTTCCCATTTAAGTCTCCTATGTTTTGTGTTGATGCGGTGGATGGCAGAACCCATTTAGAATAGGCAGGTTTGTGGGGTTTGGGCTGCCCCTCTCCCTGTCCTATAACAAAAGGGGTTTGGGTAAACCTTGGTAGGATTTAATGAAGGAATTAACTGGAACCCTATAAAGCATTAGCTAGTGGTGTTTGAGAATCCAGCCTAAATAAGACATTTTATTTAATTTTTTTTTTTCAAAGGGAGGGAAAGTTTATTGCGCCCCGGGCGGACCTCACAGACCCAAGGTGGGGGTCAGTGAAGCCGCGCCAATAAGACATTTTAAATTAAGAATGATGCTCGGCTCCATCAATATATGATCTGTAACCAGAGTGCTCAGCTGTCAGGACCAAGAGAGAGGGTTGGGAGTAGGGGGAGGGAGAAAGGCAGCAACACAAGTCGGGAAGGCGCTTGAGAGAAATTGAAGCAATGGGTCTGGAAGTCTGGGGTAGAGATGAAAGCACTGAGCATGCTGACTGACTCACCAGAGGGCAAAAAAGGAAAGATCAGCCAAAAAGGACAGCAGGTTTTGATAAACTATACAGGAGGCCTTGTGGAAGTTAGTGAGACTAACAGTTGCAGGGATAGCGATTGTACTTGAATCTTGCGGTTAGAGTAGAGCATTCTGTGAATGGAACTGTTCTGAGGTATGAAAGGAATTTGGAGATCTTTGGAATCCGATTGCGGTTAAGCGAGGTTACGGGGTTCCCCGCGGTTCCCCACCCCCACCCGTAGCCTGGGACTAGAGGTCCCGGTGTGCTGCTGGGAACCGGGCGGAGCGGAGCGCCAAGGCGCGGAGGTGGGGGCCTCTTGTTCCTGCAGCCAGACCTGTGTGCTGGTACTGCTGGGAGAGACAAGAAGGAGACTCTTGGAGGAGGGACATGTAGAGACACTCGGAAGAGACCCAGGGAGGCCGAAAATGGCGGCTGTTCTCTTGTGGTATGTCCTTTTGTCCCAGCTTTCTGGGACCTGCTTCAGATCCCCTTTCACTGCCAACAGAAGGTCCCGTAGACTTGTGGCAAGCTTTCAGGGCTTAGTGGCCCTGCTTTGGCCCAATCTTGTTAGATTGGGCATTTGCAATGTGTAATTTGGGGTGTTTTGTTCAGAATGTCCTTCCCTCTGTCTCTCACCCCCTACTAAAAGTTTTTTCACACTAACAGTCTCCTTTGCCTTTGTGTGCACAGGTAGTCAGACCCCTTTACAGCATGCAAGTTTGAGAGTCCTGGGTGCCCCTAATCTGAAGGTAAGCTGTTTTATCTTCTGAGGATAATGACAAATCCGGGCCCCCCTGGAGGCTGGCAGATAAAAGCAGTGCCAGGGGATCTTGGAATGGAAGGCTGATGTGGTAGAAGCTTCAAAAGGGTTTTGCATGAAAGTGGGAAGCTGATGAACTAAATAAAATCAGTGCTGGAGAGCTAGAAGTCATAAACCATCTTCTCATTTCTTTTTTTCTTTAACCTTCCTTTATTTTTAAAAGATTTATTTATTTATGCATTCAAGAACTGTGGAGCAGACCAGAGGTGTGGGGGGTGAGAGGATTCACCAGAGAGAGTGGGGAGCGGAATAGGCGGATCTACTGAAATACACTGCTGAGGGGAGCAGCGGGTGAGACAGAAGAGGTCTGCTGCGCCATGTGGGTCACCTCTCTGGCCTGGGATCGAACTCATGCTGCAGTGGCTGGCAATAGCTTGATAACGCTGTCTTTAACCCTGTGCCACCAGGGATGCCTCCCATCCTTCTCATTTCTTGTAGGTGAGGCATGAGAAGCTGATGGGTGGCATGTGGTTTTGCCAGGTGGCTGTGACAAGGGTCAGGTCTGACAGGAGTTACAGGTGTTGAAAGTTGCTCTGATCCTTCTCTAGTTGGGGGAGGGGGGAAGTTGTGTAACAAGTGTTCCCATGGGACAGTTTGAGCCCTGCAAGATTGGTTTTGGCACAAAAGAAACTTAGACATCTTTCAACCAGGATGGAGGTTCACTAGGAGACTGTTGATGCATTGGTGTGACCACTGATTAATTTCTGTCAAGCTAGAGTTGGGTCCTGCTCTCTCCCCAGGACCCCTATTATTCTCTGGGTTCCTGGCAACCATTGCCAATTGGTCAGAGTTTGTGCTGAAAAATGAAACTCCTGTCATTCTTGTGCTTAATGATAAATAGCAAGCTCCTGTCCTCAAGGATCTTAGTGACTGGGGTGAGGACTGTCCAGGAGATGAAATACTCTTGATGTGGGCTTGGAAAATGAATAGCTAATTAACCAAGTCAAGAAGTATGATAGAAAATGCCCTCAGAGGACCTTTGTTTTTGAGGCAAAAGCCCTTTGAAGCAGTTTCTATTTCCTCTGAAAGCTAATGAACTACTTAAGACAAATCCTATTGTTTATCTTTGTTTGCTGTCTCTGGCCTACTTTCTGAGGAGTTAGCCTGGGACTAAGAGAAGGAGAAGGGGGACAGAGGGAGACATTTGCGGGTGGCCTTTGGTCTGTCTGTGGGGTGTGCTACAGACTAGGTTTGCCTTTGCAAACTAGGGCAGCCATGCCTGCAGGGTGGGTCTAAACAATCAGAAATACATGACTCCAGGGCGTCATTGATTCTCACTCTGCCTGTGGGATGATCAGCCTTTCTTGTAAAGTGAAGACACACCCAAACTACATATTTGGATTAGAAATTGTTAAGTAGAGAAGGAATCTGAAGAGAGGGGGAAAAGCAGGAATGTTGGACGTGAGAGAGATGTACCAAGAGAGTGTGTAGATAGAGGAGAGCACCTAGAACAAACCCTCAAGAGAGGGGTGTTTAATCAGTGCTTTCTAGGCTAACTTCTGTAGAGCGGAAAGGTTTCATTTATGACTCAAGTCAAACGCATATAACCACAATATGAATTTTAAGGGGAATCCACAGTACAGCAATATAAGCATATAATTAAAAAGGGGGTATGTTAGGAACCCCTTGGCCTGTTACAGAAAGACTGGTGATTTGAGTGGTCAAGCCCTACCTGGGAGTTTTTGGTAGCCTTCCCGATGCTGAGACAGGGTGGGTGTGGGTGGTTACTTATAAGAGCAAGAGTCCTTGATGGTGCTTGTCAAAACCTGGAGAGGCTTCAGAACTATGGGAGTTCAAGAAGTAGCTCAGATTGACTTAGACTATATTTATACCACTTTTCAGAGGCATATTATCAAGACCACCTGTTAATTATTTTATTTAATTTTTAATTTGGGGGTTACATTTTTGCTCTTCCATATGTGCATATGTTCTATTCACCCTTCACCAAATCACCCATGCCCAACAACCCTACCTGCCTCCCTCCCCACCCCACCTATTCATTTTATTTTTTTAAATTTTTTATTTTTTAAAAAGGTTTATTTATTTGTGCATACAAAGCTGGCGTGCAAACCAGACGTGTGGGGGGTGAGAGGATTCACCAGAGACAGAGTGGGAAACAGAACAGGCAGACTGACTGAAATACACTGCTGAGGGGAGCAGCAGGCAAGTCAGGAGAGGTCTATTGTGCCATGTGGGTTGCTCCCTGGCCAGTGGATCGAACTGATGCTGCAGCCTCCTTGCGGACAGCTTCATAGGTTGCGTCTTAACCCCTTGTGCCACCAGGGAGGCCCCAGCCACCTATTCATTTTAATATAGGTAGGGCCTCTTGGCACAGCCAGGATTTCTCTGTCCTTGTCTTTTCCATGTCCTGTTAACAAGTGATTGCTTTTTACTTGATAACTTAAGTCATTCTATCTCAATTGCGCCCACCTTTCTGATTTTTGCCAACACATAGAATATTTGGATTAGTCAGGATATTCCAATATCAATACATAAGACAAGTGTAACTTAGCTTGCAGAAGAAACAGAGATAGCCAATCAGGGAAGGGCTACATGGCTTACAAGGGAAATGTGGCCCATTCTAAGTCCCGTGTTGGAAAAAGGAAAAAAGAGAAGAACAGAATGTAGATGGTGAATGGAATGAAAGAGGAATAAAATGCAGGCGAGTCACTGGACAGAACCAAGAGCTCAAGGCCAATAAATAACTGGGCTATTGTATTGTTATATTTTCATTCTGTAGCAGATGGCGAACTATTGAGGAATTGCAAGTAAATTTTAGGTGTGTTAAGATACTTACAGGCTGGGAAGAAGGTGGGTGGGTGGGTGAATTGGTGGTGGTGAGACTAGAGACAGAGGTAATTCATTCGGTACATTTCCTTCATCTCCTTTGGTTTTGTCCTTTATTTTCTCCTTTCTCACCTTATGTATAGGAGACTTGAAAGGTCTTGTCCAGAGATTAAGCTTTTCCCAGACTGTGGGTTGATTTCTCCTTTCCGACTGTCATTTCTGACATTTGTCAGAAATGAAAGTGACAAACCTAGCCCCTTTCTCACTTAAAGAAAAGAAGACTCCCTAGCTTTTAGCAAAAAGGAGACTGTTAGAACATGGATGTTATTAGTGCAAAGTGCTCAGCCACCATGGATGTTAGTAGTAGTATAACCCAGAAGCTCTTATTTGGCTGTGCTGGCATCACCAGGCATTTTTAATCTTAATTCACTCAACATCTACTCTATATCAGTGTAGGAGAGGTAAAATAATTTTCCCACTAATCTTCTAGGCTCATGACTGAGAGTCCCCTATAGTGAAAAGACAGATTAACAGAAAAAAGAAAACAAATTTAATTACTTTTGTACATACAGGAGTCTCACAAAGATATGAGGATGAAAGAAGTGACCACAGCTGGAAGTTTTTATAGCTCTTAGACAAAGAAACAATGAATTTGTGAAGAATTGATGAGACAAAGGGGTATTGGTTAGTAAATGGTGAAGTAAGAAGGTTTGTTTGTTTATATAGCATTGGCCCTGAATTCTCTGCTTCTGGTGATAAAGATGCTTTCTACCTCACTGCTACAAGGAAAATGATCTTTTTTTTTTTTTAATTTTACTTTCTTACATTGTTGTTCATTTTTGTACAATATTTAATTTCTCCTTTTATAGTTGCCATAAATCTCCCACTACCACATCACCCCTGAACCATCACCATCGTCCCTTGTGCTCTTCCCTCCCCTATTTTGACCCCTCTCCCTCCCTAACCCCTGCTGTATGCTCAGATCTATAGTTTGGCTGCAAGTTTTGTCTTTTTTCTATGACCCTTTGTTCAGTTTCCCTATATTTCTCCTACGATTGAAACCATCCAATATTTTTCTTTTTCCTTCTGACTTATTTCACTGAGCATAATTCCTTCCTGCTCCATCCATGTTGCTGGAAATGGCATGAATTTATCTTTTTTTGATTGCTGAGTAGTATTCCATTGTGTTTATGTAGCACCTCTCGATCCACTCATCTGTTTTTGGAATTTAGGTAGGAAAGTTATCTTTTTTTTAAAAAAAAAGATTTATTTATTTATGCATACAAGAGCTGGGGTACAGGCCAGAGGTGTGAGGGGTGAGAGGATTCGCAAGAGACAGAGGGGAACAGAAGAGGCAGATTGACTGAAGTATACTGCTGAGGGGAGCAGTGGGTGAGTCAGGAGAGGTCTGCTGCACCATGTGGGTAGCTCCCTGGTTGGGGATCGAACTTGTGCTGCAGTGGCTGCGGCAAGCTTCATAGGTTGCATATTAATCCCTTGCTCCATCAGGGAGGCCCGGGAAAGTTATCTTTTACTTGGAAGATTCATCTTCCTCCTTTCAGGGGAACAAAGGACAGTGTCCTTGCTCCCGATGTTTCTCTAGTATATTTAATTCAAAAATAATTAATATGCCAAAATGGCACATTTTGGAGTGACATTCTGAACCTCTGCACCAATCATGGAACTAAGATAACAGCCAGGAATAATACAAACAGGGTCTTTGTGTTGCATCGAGCAACACCACATTGATGAAGACACGGGAGTTGTGGAGCAGGCTGCACAAGGCAGGATGCTGCTGAGAGCAAGATCCTGGCCGTTTTTATGGATAGAATAATCACAGAGCATCAGCCACGTGTGTTAGGAGGACAAGGAGAAAAGGATGAGTGAAACTCAGGAATGTCGTCTAGGGCTTGAGGGGACATGAGTCTGCTGACCATATTATCAACTTGATGACCAAGTGTTGTAATCAAAACTACACCCCAGACCCCAGGCCATAGTCCTAATCTTATCAAAAAGGCATTCCACTGATCAGCTTCCTGGGTCCCTTGTCATACATTGATCCTCGGCCCCCAGGCATTCCCAGTCATACCTCCTGATATAAGAGGGAGTAAGTTTATGCATCCATCCTCAGCACCCCGGGCG